CTATATATACAGCATTAGGCTCATGGAAGAGATGAGAACAATCCCATAATCCTTGGAAAAAACGTCCAGCCCCTCTCTCTCTCTTCCAAGGAGTTCTTCTATTTCTTGTGTTCCACTGATACAAGACCTAGAAAGCTGTTTGAGAATACAGTAGAAGATCTTAAGGTATATAGAGATTTCGATCATACATCCAAACCTGAGACCAAAACCAGCAAGTGACCATACCACGACGACCACGACGACGAGACGAAGAGATCGCCGTCGAGATCGCCGCCGTACGTCGCCGCAAGCACCGCCACGCGCCGCCGGAAGGGAGCAGCTGCTGGATCTTGCAGACGCGCGTGAGAGCGCATGAGAGCTCAGTTTTCTGACCGGTCAACGCCGTTGACTTCGCCGTGACGTCAGCTTTCTGGATTGGTCAAGTTTGTTCGATTCCGAGAAGATTTGATTTGCGGTCAACTGTCCGGGCCAGCCAGATCTACATAAATTTTAAGCAGTAAGTTTTCTTCATCAAACCTTTAGATCCGCTGCGCATAGGTTTATGTTGAATGTTTGTCCGTGATTTGTGCATATCGAGATCCTCGTGGGTTCCAACACGCAGCCACCACAGCAGCAGCCACGTCAGTAGGCGCAGAGACCGCCTCAGCAGCAGCAGCAGAGGGGCAGACAACAGGCCCGGGTTTACGCGGTTGATCAGGCAGAGGCAGCACAACAGCTAGGTACTATGTCAGGGATGGTTGTGCTTAATGATATTCTTGTTTTCGCTTTGTTCGATACTGGAGCAACGCATTCATTCATATCACGACGATGTCTTGATGCCATCGGAGTTCATGCCGTTACCGTTGTCGATCCTCTCGAGGTGAGTTTAGCCTTGGGACGAAAGATAGTGACCTCAGCTAGAGCCTCAGATCTTAGCCTTCCCATCGGTGGTCGTTTATTGTCTATTGACGCGTTTGTTCTCGAGATGAGGGACTTCGACCTTATTCTCGGAATGGATTGGCTATCC